CCGAACGTCCGAACGCGTCGAGAGGGGGTCCCAAACGTTCGGGCGTTCGGGTTCGGGCGCTCGGCCTGTCCCGAACGCCGGCAACCCTGTATATACATATTTTAATATTTTTGTTTTTTTAATTTTAATTCTTTTTTTGGCCCACCCGGGCACGTGGTCACTCTGACAACATAGATGTGATGCTCATTTTAGCCCTCTTGCAGAAATTTGCATACGGTAACTGTGTAGACCAATGAACAACTTGGGGCTAGTGATTTAGTCTGCTATTGTGATTTTTAAGGCATCTCATTACATATCCATCGTTGCAAGCCAACTGTGACGTTGTTGACTCGTTCGGTGCACTGCATGAAACTCTGTGAAGTTCTCTCAGCCAGCCAAGAGCAGGTCCTGAAACATGGGCCGTCAATAAGCGAAAGGAGGCCTGCTTTTGTTGTGTGTGCCATAGTGTGGAAGCTAACACTGAAAATCTGCAGCCAGCCTCTCCATTAGTGGAGCACCAGCAGCTGAAGCTGATTTGTGTGTACATTATGGACACTGCCATTCCTTGTTTTGGCCCAACCTTTTGTGGAAAGAAATTGGTAACTCTGAGGCTATATGATTTCTGCAGCACATGTTGACTGTAAGATGAGTGAAAGCTGATCAGGTAATAGCCATTGCAGTTCCTGTCAACGGTTGAGTGTTGCGACAAAGCATTCGAGGATTAATTGTTGCTGGTCTAGGTCTGGAAGTTGACAGTAGAGGCACTTTGAAGGATATGAAGCCAATCTTTGTCCTTGGTCGAAGCTCCTGATATGATGGGCTAAAGGGGTGAGGCTCTTTTTCTGGTGTTCGTCATACAATTATGCTGTCCCAGATGGTGTTGCCCTGCACCCGTTCCTTGTGCTCCCCAGCTCTGCAGAAGGCACATGATGATGATGTTAAGAGAGAACTGGGTGTGGATGGACTCTTGTCATGTGAGCCCAGCTTTGAGGAGTCGTAAACTGGGTTTATGTAGAAGGGAGTGTGACAATTCATTACTTCATTTGTATGCCTACCTCAAATCTCTAGATCGTTGATTTCAGTAGTCTCATTTCCCCCCCTCTTTTGTTGTTCCAGCTGTGGCAGCCACTGGTCTCATCTGGTCTCGATACAGCACGCAGATCATCCCGGTAAGTTGGTTTTCCAAGTCCAGTGCACAGTTGATCTCTCAAGATTGTGTAATTTAACTATGCGCTTTTGTCAAGTTTCTGGAAGTCCAGTGCACAGTTGATCTCTCAAGATTGTGTAATTTAACTATGCGCTTTTGTCAAGTTTCTGGTGAATTTCAAAACTCCGAATGACCACAATGAACTGGCGGCAATATGCTGCGGTCGTTAGAAATAGGGCCGGTCGGGCCTTCTTCCCAAGACGCCCTGTGCCTACTGGACCTCCTTTCCAAGGTGCCCGGTGCCTGTTGTCCCTGAGTAAGTTCCATCTTGTGAAATTGCAATGAGATCACTATTTGCATACCCCGACAGTCGGCACCCCTTGACTGGTCGGCACCTACCGGTCTGGGGTCGTCGGCACCCCGCAGAAAAAAAAAAGAGAAGAAAAGGGTCCCGAACCCCCAATAACCCCACCAACACCCCATACCTGCCCTCAACACCCCCATGCATCACATAAAACCCCCAAACCGTCCCCCAACACCCTCTTTCCCCCCCCCCAACACC